GAACTCAAGCAGTTGAACACACTGGTGGAAAAATGCCCAGCTAGTCTCACTTAAAATCCATGACCACAAATCTCAAAGATCACTTAACATGAACCAACAATCTACTATCCTTGCTAATAGGATGACTTCTCCTCTCTCCAAAATAACTATATCACACATTCTCCTCTCTCCATAAATGTACTCATATCCTTCTCTTCCTTCACTCTTAGTTGCTTGCCTTGCTTCCTACAACACAGGGAAAATAGAAGCTATTAAATAAACATTCTCTCATCTTCCCACCACTAAATTTATCTGCTTTTCTACATGACTTCTTTCTTCTGTCTCTCCATGTAGTCCAGACCCACTTCATTATAATAGTAAATTGGCTGTACAGGTTAACCCAGAAAAAATAAAAATGCTAATAAAAAATTAACTAAATTTAATGGAAGAATTCAATCTCCTTGAAAAGGTTAAATTTTCAAATTTGACCTGGGAAAATTAGATTTGGTAATAATAATGCACCCAAATAAAGGTCAAATATTGTGTATCATCATCAATAAAAATTTTCATTATAAAATTTATACAAAAAAATTGTCCTCCAAAGAAAATAATTTCAGTAAAATAAAAATGGAGAGTTAGGCCCTGACTGAGTGGTTCAGTTGGTTGGAGTGTCATCCCATACACCAAAAGGTTGCAGGTTCAATCCCTGGTTGGGTGCATACAGGAGGCAACTGATCAATGTTTCTCTCTCACATCGATGTTTCTCTTGCTCTCATAAAAAAAAAAAATCTACACACATCCTCGAGTGAAGATAAAAAAATTTTAAAAAAAGGAAAATTTGTACAGTTCACCTTTGAACAATGTAAGAGTTAGGGGTGTGACCACACTGCACAGTTGAAAATTTGAATATGACTTTTGACTCTCCAGAAACTTAACTTGTCCCTCGATATCCACAATGGAAAGGAGCCATCCTTTCACCGTATAGACTTCTATTTCTCTTGCAGTAAATATCCTTTTTTTTTTTTTTATCCTCACCCGAGGACATTTTTCCATTTTTTGCACAGATAGAGTGGGAGGGAGAGAGAGGAAGAGAGAGAGAGAGAGAGAGAAACATCGACGTGAAAGGGACACATCGAGTGGCTGCCACCCGCACGACCAACCAGGGCCGGGGACAAACTGCAACCGAGGTACATGCCCTTAGCGGGAACCGAACCAGGGTCTCTCTGGACCGCAGGCCGATGCTCCAACCGCTGAGCCAAACCGGCCAGGGCGCAGTAAATATCCTTTAATATTCATTAGGAAGAACCTCAGTGTCTTGTTAAAAACTGATTTCAAGCCATTTCCCACTCTGCATTTAAAGAGCTTAGTGGTAGCCAGCACATCCTAACAAGTAAAAGCTAAACACATTGAAAAATCAAGAATTCTTATTGGACCCATTAGAGAGGGGAGAACACAGGGCAAATCTCTGCCCTCAATATTGGAGAGACCAACAAGCGAATACAGTTGTGGATTATCAGAACAAAAACTCACTTAGCAGGAACTGGTACCAGGGTAGGAAAACCTGAACTGCAATTGATTAATTGCTGCCAGCTCAGTGTGTAAAAACCCCAAGGCCCCAATCCTAGAGGACCCCCACAATTGTGAGACTTACCTCCAGGAGTTAGGGCAGGTTCCAACAGTAAATGTTGAAAAGAAATCCCCTCCTGCTTTCAGCAGGGTGGACGAAAAAGAAACCATTTTGAAGTACAACAGAGCACTCTGTTCTTAACACGGCCTGCCCACACGAGGAACGAGTTAACCTGAGCCTAACCTGCCTGGAGGCTTGTTAGAGTCTGACTCACCTGTGAGAAGGAACTACCCACTCCAGTCAGCTCTAGCCTTCCAATATGGGGGAAGGAAAATACTGAACTCCAGTCCACTCTAGCCATCCTGTCCCACCTTAGGGGGGTTGGAAAAAACTGAGAAATGCCTGTGAGGTTTACAAGCCAGAGGTACAGGCTCACTGAAAGACTAATATATAATAGTCTTTCTATTGTATAATAGGACTATGGAATGCTCCCACACATGTAATTTACCACCACTAAAGGCCTATTTATAGGAGTTCCTTTCACTCAATACATCATGTCCAGCTATCAAGAAAATTATGAGTCATACTAAAAAGTAAAAGCAAAAAAACAAAAAACTAACAAAACCAAACAGTGCCTGCATAGTATTTTGATAGATGAATGCATCGTATTTTATTTATATAACCACTCATCTTTGTTGTTTAAATTTTCACTATTCTAAAACAATAAAAAGTCTTGCACAGGTATATTTGTAGAATTAGCCAATAAATTTCCTTAGGATATGTATGTATATCCTCACCCAAGGATATTTTCCCATTGATTTGCTTGTAGAGTGGGAAGGAGGGAGGGAGAGAGAGAGAGAAACATCAGTGTGAGGGGGACACATCGATTGGTTGCTTCCACAAGACCATGACCAGGGCTGGGGATTAAACCGCAACCAAGGTACGTACCTTTGACTGGAATCGAACCTGCAACTCTTTGGTCCGAGGCCTGACATTCCAACCACTGAGCCAAACTGGCCAGGGCTCCTTAGGATATGTTTCTAAAAATTATTTGCCAGAAGTTTGAAAATAATAGATTATCAGCTAGTTTAATAAACAACTCTGGCAGAGAAGGAGAAAAGAATGTGGGGAGAAATGTGGAAAGAGGAGAAGATAAGTCAGTTTCGGAAAATTTATGGCCACATATTTTCTTTTTTTTACCTCTTAAAATGTTTACCTTTATTTTTTTATATAATAAAAAAAAGGAAACGGTATTGGATTTCAAATAATACATAGCAAAAATAAGTTTGCCTCTCATATGTCTCCCTATTTCCAGTTCTTTCCCTAGTTTTTTATTTATTCTTTTAGATATTACAGTGAATCATACAGAAGTCATTTCTGTAGATCAAACACAGTTTAAAGAAGTTCAGTGTGATTCCATCTAATATCACATACACATCCATTTACTTTCCCAAATATTTGACCATAATATACTTAGTGACTTTGTAACATACATCAGAATGTTTAGCTATAAACTTCTTTCCTTAGTGAGGACAAAATGTCTACAAGTTAGGTTTAAAAAATTAAAACTGCTAAGGAATGTTAGGTGGAGGAGAGGAGGCCTTGGGTGTGTTGTTATTCACTTCTGAAATGAATAACGGCTTCCTTTAACTTGAAGGGAGAGTAACACTTTTGAAGTCTATAACTTACATAAACAAATGATAAGAAAACATATTGTCTGAAGAAAATCTACTGACAAAGCCCAGTGGTTTCCTATAGAATGCTAGGAAGCCCAGCCTCTGGCATGCAGAGGGCACTGTGGTCCAGTCCTAACGTGGTTCCTGTTGCCAGGATTTGGGAATAAAATTGCCTAAAATAGTTTTTAAACCAATTCAGGACTATGGGTGAATAGTTGGTCTATTGTGACCCCACTTCCTAAAGTAGCTTTTTTTTAGAAAAAAAATTTTTACTAAATCTTCCTAACTGTATAAGTAGAATAATATTTTTTCAGGAAAAATCCGTATTATAGAACTGGGAGAAACCATAAAGATCATCTAGGTCCATGGTTGTTAGCAGGAAATTGTATCCATATTGCCTGTGGCATTTTGGGTGATGGCCCAAGGGAAGAAAAAAAAATTTTTTTTTCAAGTTTGAACCCAGGCTTTTAGACTCTGCAGCATTGGAAAGTGATTCTTCTTGTATTAATTGTCCAGGTTTTTCAAATTACTGCTCAGTCAATTTCTCTCAGAAGACACTTCTTATTATTCTCTCTAAAAAGCGTATCTGGCCCCTGCCAGGTAGCTCAATTGGTTGGAGTGTTATCCTGTACACCAAAAAGGTTGCAGGTTCAATTCCCAGTCAGGGCACATCCCTAGATTGTTGGTTCAGTCCCCAGTTGGGGTCATATGGGAAGCAACCAATTTAAGTTTCTCACGTTAATGTTTCTTTCTCTTTCTCTCTCCCTTCCTCTCTTTCTAAAATCAGTAAACATATCCTCAGGTGAGGATTAAATAAATAAATAAATAAATAAATAAATAAATAAATAAATAAATAAGTACATAAATAAAATATCTGGGATCACTATATCCTGGTCAACTCTGCTAACCCATGAATACATTTCCTCATTCCTGATCCCTGTAATAAATTTATACAGTACAAATTCTTTCTATTCAGTTGTTGATTTTTGTTTTTGTTTTTTTACCCTCCCTTACCTCTCTTTTGTGCACATGTGTTCCTGTTAATTTCTAACTTAAAAAGCATTAGGCTGAGGGTTAAGCTGACTCTCTGGGAAAATGTGCTCCTGTGTCAGATTAGAAAATGGTTGGGCTTCCATGCCCAATGATAGATTAAATCACCAACAATGATTTAATCTATCATTTACCTTTTGATCCTTTTTTCAATGATACCTCCATTCCATTGACTAAGCATTAAATAGGTATAGACTGGAAAATTCTGTGTGGTCCTGATATAAGACACCAGTAACAAAAAGTTCTCTTAACTTCAGTAGGAAGCATGAGTCAAAAAAGGATGGTGGGGCAGGCGTCAGTCTCAGGGCTCACTCACTCCAGTGAGCACTTCTGGTCCTCGGTGTGTTCTTGTTTTTGTATTCAGTAGGCATGTATTATTCTGAAAAATTATGCATAGTGGATCTCAAGCTACTGAAAGAATGAAAATATGGCAAAATTGAAGTGGGAACAGTTAGTCAGACAATATTTCGTTTAGTAATTAAAAGAGCTGAGCCAAATTAAGCAGCCTACAAGGCACAGGTTTTCTTACCCAGCACCCCAACTGCTTTTTGTTTGTTTGGGTGGTTGGTTTGTTTTGTTTTTAAAGTTAGCAAAAAATATTCAGGCAGCATTAGGGCAATAAAAAGCAGAAACGTAGAAGACTTTCCTAAATCTTGTCCCAGTATTGTCAAAGTAAAAGTCAAAGACTATGGGGATAAATTTAAGATGGAAATAGTAGCAAAGGTTACCTGGGCACCGCTGGTGAGAAGAGTGGTCAGTTCCTACAGCCTGGTTAGCTGGGGTTTGTTCTGCTCCATTTGTAAATGAATGCATGAGGTTTTTCTAAAAGCAACAACAATGTGGCTGTTGTTTTACCAGTTTACATCACCTCATAAATAGGAACATACTTGGACAAAATTTAAGATCCCAGATTTAACTTACATTCCTAACCCCGTCAGCTGCCTCTCGAATTGCTTATAAGGTCACCAGTGATGAGGCAAGGAAGTGTGGATGGATCTGTGCAAACTCACCATCACTAATGAAAAACAAATTCCTTGTCTGGTCCAGTGTCAATGAGTCATTCGCAGCCTATTTGTAATGAAAAGATAACAAACAGTATGCTTAGCCGGTGTTGCTCAGTGGATTGAGAGTCATCCCATGGATGGCCCTGGTTCGGTTCCCAGTCAGAGCACATTCCTGGGTTGGACTGGATCCCCAGTAGGGGGAGTGTAGGAGGCAGCCAACAGATGCTTCTTTCTCACATTCTCACACAGATGTTTCTATCTCTCTTCTCTCTTCTTCTCTCTCTCAAAAAAAAAAAAAAAAAAAAAATCAATTAAAAAAAAAAAAAGACAACAGTATGTATTGTGTGGACAAAGGTTCACTGACACATTTTTTTCCCCCAGAGTAGCAGTGTGTTTGCTTATAAGTGGATGTATTCACTGCACACAGACAAATGTTCTCATGCTAAGCAGAAGGTAAATACTGCTGGCAGTGTTTTCTCTCTGAAGTGAGCTTTACGGGATCAGTGGAATATTGAAGATAATGGGGAAATAAGGAGAATGAATTATGGAATAAGTAGCAAATGTGTCCTGGTAGCTGGTTTACACAAGATTAAATGCAATTACGTGTTTCTCTGACTCACTCAAGTTTCTCAGCCCAAGAGGCAAGGTGTGTATCTGGCCATCTGACAAAGGCAACTATGTAAGTCAAATGTCTCTTTTCCAGTATAAGAAAAACTGATACAGATGGAGGCATTCCCCCAAATTAGAAGATATATATATATAGATATATATAGATATACACACACACACACACACACACACACACACACAAATGCTGCGATATATGTTATATATGCTATATAGGTAGCTGTAATGCAAACTACATCATTCTTTGGGTATTGTTAACCATAAAGATGCAAAGCCAGACTTGACCAAGTGAAGAGAGGCCACAAGCAATTATCTAGCAGGGGGATAAGAAAGAAGTTGGCGTTGTGAAATCTGGGATGAAGTCCCTGCTTAGTCTGCTATTAGCTGAAATAACCTGGTTCATCATTTAATCCCTCTAAGCCTCATTGTCAACATCTGCCAATTAAGAATAATATGCTACTTCAAAGGTGTTTGGAGATTCAAATGACAATGAAAATGCATATACTTTTACGTTATAAAATGCTGTACAAATGTTATTTTAAAACATTTAAAAAATAAAATCTGTGACAACTTTCTGGCTAAGCAGGGCTTTGAAGAATTATTTAAGCAATCAGAAAAGAAGAGCACTGGAAATTGAACTTAACACAATTGAGTCTGAGATAGTCACAGCCCACGCTCACCTCCGAGGCCCAGGGTACCTACTTTGGGATCCCATGCCCCCTGGCTGTGGAACCCGCACTCCATGGAGACCTGGAGGCCAAGGGGAAAACCTTCAGGCTCTTAAACAATTACCACTACTTGGTTTCTTTACTTCTTCTCTGTACTGGGTTCTGGAGATACAGAGGACTATTTACCAAGGTACTACCTCTTCTGGGTCTTAGAGTCTAGTAAGGAGACACAACTTGATCAAATATTTACCCAAATATATAAAAACAGTGAAAAATGTAAAGGTAGAGTTCAGAAGACTCTGGAGCACGTGAGTGATGGACTTGATCTATTTTGGTGTTGTCAGGAGGTTTTCTGGGGAAGTAACATTTCAGCTAAAACATTTAGAATGACTAGGACACAGCGAGATTAACTTGGGTAGGGCGGGAGGGTGGCAGAAATATTCCGGGCAGAGGGAACTACCTTAGTGAGAAGCTTGAGACTGAGAGAACTGAAAGAAGGATGTGATGACAGGGCCGGAGGCCCGTGGCGGTGGGAGGAGCTAGTCCCTAAGAGCAGAGAGGTGAGATTACTTTTCTTTTTTAAGTTATTATTTATTTATTTATTTATTTATTATTTCTTTTTCTTTATTGATTTTAGAAAGAGAGGAAAGGAGAAAAAGAGAGAGATAGAAACATCAATGAGAGAGAGCATCGATTGGCCGTCGCCTGCATGACCCCCACTGAGGATCTGGCCCACAACCTGGGCATGTGCCCTAGCTGGGAATTGAACTGGTGACCTCTTGGTGCCTGGGTCGACACTCAACCACTGAGCCACACCCAGCTGGACGAGGTGAGATTACTTTAAAAAAATAACAGTGGGAGGTCAGGTGGCTCAGAGTGAATAATAGTAAGTTTGATTAGCATGGTAAGTTTGATTCAATGGAAAGAATTTGATAGCTTCTAAGTGGTACAGGTGACATCCCATATCTATGAGTGGAGATCAAGAGAAAAGTGCAGAAATAGTCTTAGGGGCTCCAACTTTTAAGGCTCAACAGAGGAGGATATATCTAAAAAAAAAAGAGAGCCCTGGCCGGTTTGGCTCAGCGGTTAGAGCATCAGCCTGCGGTCCCGAGAGACCCGGGTTCGGTTCCCGCTAAGGGCACGTACCTCGGTTGCAGTTTGTCCCCGGCCCTGGTCGGTCGTGCGGGTGGCAGCCACTCAATGTGTCCCTTTCACATCGATGTTTCTCTCTCTCTCTCTCTCTCTCTCTCTCTTTCTCTCTCTCCCTCCCACTCTACCTGAACAAAAAAATGTCCTCGGGTGAGGATAAAAAAAATAAAAACAGAGAGAGAGAGAAATAAAAAAAAAGAGAGAGATAGGGAAATAAGAGGGACATTAGGAGTCACAGGAAAAAAAAAAAACACAAATGCTGCTAAGTAGTCAAGTGAGATGAAACTAAAAAAAAAAAAGCTCCTCAGTGACACAGTGACATGGAGGTCATTAGCAAGAACTACATTGGAGGAGAGATGGGGATAAAAGAGAGGGGGAATAAGGAAATGGAGCCAACCTGTTTAAGAAACTGGTTTAAATATTAGAAGTAAAAGATCGTGGTAGCCCAGGAAAATAGGCAGGGAAACCCTGAGGAACATTTTATTCACTCTTCAAGTCACGAGAGTCAATCCCTTCTGGGGGTGGGGAACTTTTTTCTGCCAAGGGCCATTTGGAAATTTATACCATTTATGGGCCATACAAATTTATCAACTTAAAAATTAGCCTGCTATATTTGGTCAGGCTAATTTGGTGAGGCACGTGATATTAGCTGGTGTTGATTTCTTGAGACTTATATGGCTCACAGGCTGGACATTCCCCACCCCTGCAGGTTGGTCTAGAATTTCTTTATCCATTTAATTTGGGGTGGGGTTGGTTCTATCCAGACTATTGCCAGAGTAGTTGAGGAGTTGAATGGAGATTGGACTCATATATGTAGACTCCAAAAATTTTTTACATGGATTATTTATTCACACTACCCACTACCAACAAGCTCCATACCAGGGGTTATAGTTTCTAAAACACATTCTCAGTGGTGTGGTCCTGGAAGGAAAGAAAGAAGAAGAAGAAGAAGAAGAAGAAGAAGAAGAAGAAGAAGAAGAAGAAGAAGAAGAAGAAGAAGAAGAAGAAGAAGAAGAAAACATGTAAAATTTCTTCACATGGGCCTGGGGATTCCCTGCTATTTGGACTTCTTTCCCCGAACAACTATGCATAGTCATGTCATGTTCCCTCCTAAGAGCTCTTGTGTTCACTGTCCTTCCCTCCTGACCATCTCTGTCTTCACTGGCTTGGAAGCCTCCAGTTCTGCATTGGGCCCTCCACTACCTTTCCTATTTCAGTCATCACTGCTCACTCCTCTCACTGCAGCGAGAAGGCCATGGAGCACCAGCCACTGGTGTTATGTTGGTCTGTGCCGTGGCTGATGAGGTCAGGTTCCAGCTCCTCTTGCCGCTCTGTCATTTCTCTACTGATACTCCCTGATAATAAACCGTATGTCAAGGGTTGGCAATTGGTGCTTGTCTTGAGGTTCTACTGAGTCTAGCTCCCCAACATAGGTTCAATACCTTCTTATAAACCTTCCTTCTAGCTAAAACTAGTTGTTGATGGAGAGTGGAGCATATCCAAATGTACTTTCAAAATGTAAATTTATTTTCCATTACTGACCTAATTTATTAGCTAATTAACTGAAACAATTAGAATCCCTAAGTCTCCCCAAAATTTTGTAAAATTATGTTTAAGTGTTTTGGAAGCCATTTCTCTGATTCTTGGTTGCTAGCTCCCAAATGAATCCTGCGTGCATACATAAGGGTTGTATCTGTGGGGAATGTGTTGGTACCTGTGTTTGAAATGAAACAATGATAAATAATTGTACATGGTATCAATGTGTTCTCCAATGAAGTTAGAAATTTGTACACTTTAACATACAAAGCAGGACAAAAGAAATGAACATTTTACTGAAGAGGGTATATGTATGGTAAATAAGCACATGAAAAGAAACTGAACTTTATTTGCCATCAGATAAATGCAAATTTAAACCACAATGAAATATCACTATATGACTCTAAGAATGGCTGAAATAAAATAAAAAGTGACAACACCAAGTGCTGGTGATTATATGCAAAAACTAGATCAAATGTATTGCTGGTAGGAAGCAAAAAAGTACAGCTACTCTAGAAAACAGCTTGTTGGTTTCTTATACAAGTTAAATATCCAATTGCTATTTAGCCCAGTAATTGCAGTCTTGGGGCACTTATTCCAGAGAAATTAAAACTTATAGCCACACCAAAACTGTACATGTATTTTCATAGCAGCTTTATTTGTAATAGCCAAAAACTTGACACAGGTCAGATGTCCTTCAACAGATGACTGGTTAAACAAACTGTGGGACAACCATACCATAGAATATTAATCAACAATAAAAAGAAAAAAAACCTGCTGATATTTGCAACAACTTAGATGGATCTTCAGAGAATTATGCTGGGTGAAAAAAGCTAATCCTAAAGATTACATGATATACAATTCCATTATTATAACATTTTGAAATGACAACGTTTATAAATAAAGGGAAAATTAGTACCTGCCAGGTACTAACAGGGATTAGGGATGGAGGATGAGAAGTGTAGAGGGAGAGAGATGTGAATATGGTTATAAAAAGGATCCTTGTGGTGATGAAACTGTTCAACATCTTGACTGTGGTGATAGACACAGGAACTGTATAAAATTGTATAGAACTAAATGCACACAAACACATAAGACAAAGAGTACAAATAAAATGGGGGAGATTTGAATAAGATAAGTGGATTGTATTAATATCAATAAACAGGATGATATACTAGTTTGCAAAATGTTACCATTGAGAGAAACTGGGAAAAGTATAGCCAGTATCTCTCTATATTACCTCTTACAACTGCACATGAATCTATAACTATATTAATAAAAACTTTCAAGTAAAAAAGAATACAAAGCAAGTTTTCTTACCTCAATATTTACCACCGAAGTATTCCTCAAAGTAAAATGGTATGAGGAGTGATCATTAGTAAGCAAATATTTTGCCACCCATAGATTGAGAGCTGTGTCAATGGACATCCCGCCACCTGAGCTGAAAAATGATTGTTGAAGCATTATTTTATTCAGATAGTCAATGAATACTTTATCATCTTTTCAAATAATATACAAGTAGCCAATTTACTGTGTGGAAACCACAACTATAATTTCCCCAAACCCGGTTTTGGTGGTAGTCCACCTCTATGAAAATATAAGTAGAACTTCTATCTGGGCAGGAGTTGCAAAAAGACTGTTTCACTTGCCCAACTGAACTTTGACTTTGCTTCCTATACAAATAGTAACTACATGAGGAACTCCTATCAATTTACAACCCAGAATTCTGGGATTTTAGAAGCTGGCTTGGTTTTGAATTCTCTTCTCTGCTCCTCTTCTCATAGGACATTTAAATCATGAGAGGGGAGCTCATTTTTCCAGCTTCTCAACAGTTCACCACTGCGGCGATCAGATTACATAAAATATCTCGTTAGTAATTTATTCTAACACAGATGTGCTTTCACCGGTTTGACTTAACCTTTTTCCTTCTGTTTTAGAAATGGTTGCTATAAGACATAGCCATATGAAGACTATTTCTGCATTTTCTTAAACTATGAATTGAATGTATTATCTACCATATTATTAAATGTCTCATATGCAATTTTTTTTTTCATAAATTGCTTTTAGAGTGTTGGCGAAAAGAAATTTCCCTTTGGCTACAAAGGTATAATTTCTTACATTAAATAATGAGAAATATATAATCCAACATGATTTATTTTTACCCTCACTACCAAGAAACTCAGATCTAAGTTTTCTGTTTGTTTACTACTTTTAGCCTTGCTATAGACATTTTCTCCTGCTCCTACTCTATTTCAATATAATTTTTTTAAAGTTGTCATTTTTAGAATTTTATTTCTTTAGCCAACTTAAATTCATTTAAATCTAACAATTTAATAATTAAATCATTTTTATAATACTACTTTAAGCATTATTTATTTTAATTCTTTTCCATGAAAAGAGAAACAATATACTTGGAGAAAATAGTTCTAGCCAAAGGGCACGTGCAGGGTTACTTAACGTATTTGTGTTCCCATGCACTTTAAAACTTAAGACTCAGGGTTGTTTAGTTCCCTGTTTTAACAACATAGATGTCTATTGATTTAAGGGAAATTAATTGCTTGAATTTAAATTCAAATTGCCAAATATAACTCATATGTTAAATATAAAAATAACAAGGAAAAAAATCTTGCCCATGATTCCTCTAAACAATTTCTGGCCCTCAGTGAAAGAAATGGCTCCTATATAAATATATTTTCTGCTTGGGTATAAGCAAAATCACCAAAAAAGGAAACATAGGTTCACCAAGGGACAATGTAGTAATAAAAACTGACTAGGGTGCAATAGTCCACCACGTCACCAGTGAAGGAATCTCATTTCTGTTCTGCTACTTTGCAAACCAAATATCAGTGACAAAGGACATAATGCATTTCCGGGCTTAATACAGCCATCTTTCCTCTTCCTTGCTACCATGAGTTCAAGGATAGGTTATAGTTCTGTATGAGCTGGTCTAAGCCCCTGCCTGGAGTCCATTCCCTAATTCCCCTCCATCTCTATTCCCTTATGTCAAAAGTGACTTCTACTGGAATTTCAGAGAAAGCTGGATGGAGACTACTGAACCATGTGGCCTTCCAGCCTGACCCTCTATTTCCCTTTCCAGGGGCCATTTTCATCTTGGAGCTCTCAGCTGTGGTTTTCCATGGTTTCTTTTGACAATAGTTCCCAATGTCAATAGTTCCAGTTGGTGGATCTTGGTAACTTCTCTGGTTTACTCTGGTATGGCCTTCCTTGATGAGAGTTCTGGCAGGTGATAGTTCTGATCAACCATGACTATCCTGTCAGCAGCATCCCTCACTTCTGTATTTGTCCACCATAACTTTGTAGATTAATTGAAGCTGACTATTTATGCCATTATAGCCAGTGCCCAACAAAGGAGAATCCAAGCATCATTACTTTGCTCATTGCAAAAATTCTAGGCCTAGATCCCTTTATTCATGAGCATTTTGCTTCTCTTCATCTTGTTCCTGGATTACTGCTTAACTTTTGGACCCATAAATGATTTGGCTTTTCTGATTTTGACCCCTAGCACTCTTTCTTAGACATGTACTATATATAGACTAGCTCTCTGAATGCCTCCAATTCCTATAGTTAAATAGTAACTACCTTGTATAGTGCCCCTCAGGTCTATCTCACTCTCCCTTCAACCCCATTATGAGACTCTACAGCTCTTTCTAGGATCATATTCAAACCCTCTTGTGAATGCTAATTCCCATTCCTCTTGGAAAGCTACCTCTAGCAAGGGCATAGAAGATAGTACTCAGAACTATCTCATGAACTTTTTCCTGCTCTTTCCTGAGCCAGGATCTAAGCTTATACTTGTCACAAATGAGCACTCAGAATATTTCAGAATGTCCCCCTTTGGGGATGCTACGCAAACTTCATCACTTCCCTCTATTCAATTCAAATATGAAGGCAATGTGACCAAACATCCAAATTCTCTTAAATTTTTCTTGTTCATCTAAGACACTCATCCAAATTAGATCACAAGAACATCCTTAACTATTTCATAGTGCAGCAAGCCAGGTACATTTATTGAACTTCAGTGTTCAAATTGGTCACCACTCATACTGATGCTTTCAAATATTCCTCTTAGATGTTCAGTCACAATAGCCTCCTTGCAATTCTTCATATAATGGTAGTAGGGCTTACTTGGCATAACATGTTCAACTCCTGCTCACTTCGCAGTTCTCATCTTTTTCCACATCCTTCCTCACTCCAGCCATGTTGAACTCCTTTTGGTTTCTCAAGTGTTCTCACTGGGATTCAGTATTTCATACTTGTTTGTATTTTTGCCTGACATAATTTAGCCACCAGCTCTTATTCATCTTTATAACAATATCTCTTTAGCTCACGTTTGTATTGTATGGTTCATCTGTGTGCATGCATGGTGGGGAGCTACAGCATATTATGATTTAATGGGAATTAAAATGACATCTGTTTAGCATTTACAAAATGTTATCCTGATTACACCTGTTTGCTTGTTGGTTTCCACCATTAGACTGCAAGCTTTGTGAGGTCAGAGACTGTGTCAACATGGTAAATGATAAATATATATTTGTTGAATGAATGAATTAATAATCAAACTATAATTTTCCAATAAATCCCCCCAATGAAGCATCTCACTTCCAATTAGATTGGTTACACTATGGGTATAATCACACTCTTTTGTGAACATGGAAAACCTACCTTACCAGTGTAGCCTGATCCTGTCTCTCTACATCAGTCTTACAGCTAGACTTTACCTGTTTTGACAGAGATGTAAGATGTGGTTGCCTTGGTTTTGAGTAATTAGGTTCCTGAAATGAGATAAAAGCTGGGACAGCAAATGCATCACCATGTTCACAAATGAAACTTGCAGGCTTCAACTAAAAGGTAATTGAAAAGCCATTCCATTCTTTGTTCTTATGAAAACGTTAACTTTGACAGTTTGTAGTTCAAAGCACAGAAACCTCAAATATGGCAGACAGTGTTATCTGGAAGGCAATGTCTGACCAAATACTGAATTATTATCTCAATTCCAGGAAATGTCCTCCCTATCAGTCACTTTTGCTACGATTCTACCATAAGCTTAAAAATGAGAGGATTTTTATAAACAGTCTAATTCTTCTTCAGGAAACTTTAAAAGCAATGTTTTTGAGAGTCAGTGGACATGACACTAAAAAGACTTCAAGTGTTTTTCTCTGACCAAAGCCATTCTCATTTTTGCTGAATCACTAACCATGCTAAGCTCTGCTTTTTCCTCTCACTGAAACATGTTTACATTCTTACCAAAATAGAAACAGTCGCTGTAATCAGTTCTCTTGGAAAGGAAGAAAACATTGGCCCTTCCTTCACAAGAGGATGTTTGTTCATGGGAACAAGTACCAGCAGTAAATCCTAACTGAAATACAGTGTTGATTCTTTTTTTTTTTTATTAAACCTGTTGAAAAATAAAATACTAATTTTTCTCCAAGTTTTATCTTGAGTTTATCACATCTAATTAATTGATTCAGTTAATCTTCTGACTTGATTCAAAAGACACTGCATTTGATTCTTAAACCTTTTCATAATGAAAGAAATTATCATTTTAACCTCTAACTTTAAAAATCCAGATTATCTTTCAAATAGTTCTATGATTAATCAAGTAAGCTGCCCAAGCAAACATTTCCAAATCCTCAAAGATTATCCTGAGACCTGAGATCAGAACATTCAAACCACAGATTCTGAAATTCTCAGATCAGTTCTAAGATCCTGGAACATGCTTCACTCAAGAGCCAGTATAGTGAAATGGGTCACGGGTAGTTTGGTGAAGTAGCAAGACCATGCCCATGGAAATGAAATGTAGAAAGAAGAAGTGTTGATGGTGAGGAGAAAGAAAATGAAGCTGACTGTAGTCTTGAGTTGAGCCACAGACTACTTTAGGGCACTGACCCAGAGAGAGACATCTGGGACAAATACCTATCAGCATTCCTGAGGTGTTACAGCAACCTGACCAAGGAAGGCCAGCCGCAGTCATGGGTTGTTTATATTGCTTTGAGCAAAATGACCTCCTTTCTTACCTTACCTTGCACATATCTATCATGTGTACTATATAGTTATACAGGTCTCTTTTTTAGCTTCTTGAGGCAAGCATGTGTGTCTTATAATAACTGACACTATCGTGCAACTGTGGTGGCACAAAGCAATATGCAAAAAAAAAAAAATTGTTAAATTAATGAATACGTGAATTTTTCTAATACTTGAGGTTCAATGTAAAAACTCAGAGAAAGTATACCTACAATACAGTTCAGTCTATATTGTTTATATGATAGACAATATACAATTTGTTGCTCGATTACTACTTCTAAATACATAAATTTAACGAAAACACTAAAAGAAAATGCATGACTATATTTTTATTTGGACTATGCTACTTGCTACTATTTAAATAAAATAATACTCAGCATT